GCATAACAGAATCCTTTTCCCCACTCATCTTAGATACAATATGCTAGCAACCTTGATGTGGGTGTATTAGTTCAATAGTGACTTCAGAAGGTGGTACTCCAGCCCTCTAAGAAACAAACGCTTTCTCAAAGGACCCTGTGTGTTCCCCTCTCTCGTTAACTAAAAGTGTTTCCAAAGGATGATTCATTGAATCATAGAATGGTTTGTGTTGGAAGGGACTTTAAAGGCCATCTAGTTCCAACCCCCCACCATGGGCAAGGTCACCTTTTGCTAGACCAGATTTCTCAAAGCCCCATCCAATCTGGCTTTGAACATTCCTAGGGATGGGACATCCATAACTTCTCTGGGCAATTCTTTCTCAGGTTAGCACCACCCTCACAGTAAAGAATTTCCTCCTTATATCTAATGTAAATCTGCACTCTTTCAGTTTAAAGCCATTTCACCTGGTCCCATCACTACACAGCACTTACAAAGTCCTTCTCCAGACCTCTTGCAGGCGTTCTCATGAATCGGGCTATAAGCCTTGATCCCTGGAGTCTTGATCTCTCCATAGCAAACAAGTCCAACTCTCTCAGCCTGTGTTCATAAGAGAGGTGCTCCAGCCCTTTGCTTATCATTGTTGTCTTCCTCTGGACTTGGTCCAGCTCAGTCCTGTGTGGAGGACCCAGAGCTGGATGCAGCACTCCAGGCAGGGTCTCACCAGAGCAGAGAGGCATAATAATCTCCTTCGACCTGCAGGCCACACTGCTTTGGATGCAGCCCAAGACAGGTTGGTCTTCTGGGTTGCTGGTTCACCTTACCAGCTTGTGTTGTGCTTTTCATCAAGCAACACCCCCAAGCTTTTTTCTTCAGGGTTGCTCTCAATCCATGATCAAAAATTAAGTGTGTAGAGTAGAGATGGAATGAACCCTCTAGAGGAACAACATTCTCTGCACTGTCTGTTCAAATAACATGGATGATGACAGTCTCAGACTAGAGGCTTCAATTTTGCAAGCCTGCAGTTAGGTGAGGTGAACCCTATCTAAACTTAAAATTCCAACCACACAGTATCCAGAGTAGCACTTTAAATTATAAATATGGCTGAGTTAAACCTGTATGCCTATTGAAATACAATGGAAGAGGTCCATAAAGAAATTTTGGAATTAGCAATCTACCCAGTAGAAGCTGAAAAAAAAATCATCATCCAGTGATCAGATATTTACAGGTTGGTTTGTTTTCTTTTTTTTTCTCTGCAGATCAGTCATTTACATGAATAGCCCAAAAACTATAATCTTGTTTGTCCCCTTCAAACATGATCTCTTTAATCCTTTAAATTTGTTTTTAGGAGCAACATTAGTTCTTTCCGATTTTTAATGCAACTGGTGCTTTGACTAATGATTTAATTGTTTAAACAGTTCAAGAATGTAAAGACTGCCTCTAAGCTAGGCCTTATTTAATGAACAGCAGGAACAAAGTTGCTGCAATATAAGTTAGAGAATAAGCTTCATTGGGGTGAGATCAGCAAGTCTCCTGTCCACCTCAGCAGTCTAACCATTGTTTTCCGTGAAACAAGTCCTGCCATCTATACTCAAAATTTAATCAGGAGAAAAGACACAGTAACAGCACTAAGAGTGTGTTCTGGCAGAGCCCTTCATAACCTGAAGCTGTTTTGCTTTCCTGGCAGTATCGTGCTCCATTTTGCTCAACATGATGATAAAGCTCTGCAAAAGGCAGCGCTGTCGATCCTGAGGAAAGCTGACCCAGATCCCTGTCTGCCCACTCTCAGGAGTGTGATGAGAAGGCTTCACTCATTGCCTTTACCTCTCTTTTCAGAAGGATAGCAGCACAAGAGAGTTTTTTGGAATTAAATGTTATGCATTATCACTGTGCTTTTAAGCCATATCTTCTAAAATGCCCTGCCCATTTCTTTTCAGGTGACATTGGCCTCTTCCACAAAACCTCACCCTGTTTTATTTCCCTTCCCTACCCATATTTCTTCTTCTCTGCATCAATCTCTTGCCACAGTGACAGTCTTCTCATTTCTGTTAATTGAACTTTGATGGTGACTAAATAAAGAAAATATCACTGTGTTGGTGTACTGCTGTGCACTGTTTTGGATAAAAATACACTTTTTTTCTTTCTGCTATTCAATGCTTCTTTTATTTTAGTGCTCAGTGCTGTCATCTCTCTGCTTGCTTCCTCCAACATGATCTCAGTAGAAAGCAGGAAAGGCAGTTAGCTTTTAGCTCAGGATGACCACACAAATACATAAAAAGAATGAAAGCTTAGTTTCATAATATGGGAGCTATTTTGTTCTTTTTCTCAGAATCAGAAGTACTGAGAATTGAGAATTGAGGTGCCATTCTTCTCCCTGACTTGCTGCAAGCTGCAGTTTGTTGGGCTTTTAAGTGACTCTGTGATTCTGCATGAGTAGTTCATGATAAAGGAAGTGATTCAGTGTCCAAAAGTCCTATTATCAAGAATGTACAACCTGTTAAGTGCCTGCTACTAGATGAAGATAGTGAATTTGTGAAAAAAACTCAAACAAAATAATCCTGCCTATGTTGTAATTAAAAGCACAGGAGATAATGTGAGTGGCATGCATTGCTTGGGCTCTCAGCTGTAAAACAAACACTATCTTCTGCTTTATTGCATGATTTATTTCATTTTTATCTGCTTAAAAAATACTCATTAGGGACGAGCTGCAGGAGAATGACTTTTGGACAGCTATGGGGCGAAATGAACACACAATGAAGGGTGACCTTTCAAAGGGGGATTATCTATAAATAGCAATGGTTATCCCTCACAGCCTTCTGACATAAGCCTGCTGGGAGTATGAAAAAGGAGACCCTTTCCACCAGTTCCTTCAACATGATTTTAGATTGGCACATGACATGTTTTGGCCATGAATAGCGGAGGAGAATTTGCAAAGGGATCAAGCAAAAAGCCTTAGCAGCTGTCTGGCTGTCGATATTCCCCTGAGTTTAAAAATTAGCTCAGAGCTTCCTTCCACTTTGCCCATGAACAGTGGCACACACCTTACTAGAAAAGTATACTAAGATTTAATGTTTAAAATATTTAATTTTGGGAGCTCATTTATTAAAAAAATTAACTATATCAGTTTTTAAAATTAGCCAAGCAGTGCCATCAGAGTTTATTCAAATACCAAAGGGCTTTAGGATCAGACTGCAGTTCTTAACTACTGTTTTAACTTCTTCTTTGCACCATGGATCCATCAAATCCTTTATTTGGAATGAGGAAGAATTGGTATTTCTGGCAATTTACTATTTTTAAAGAGAAAGAGGTGAGTGAATTTATCAGGAAAAAATAATGGACTATTCTCTTTGTAATGCATGTCCTTTGTTTATTTGCCATGTGATATTGCCATAAAATAGCATTTCAGAGATTTTAAAGTTTTCATATGAAGGATAATCTACAAAGGGAGAGTGCACAGAAGATCATAGTTTTAAATAGTCAGATATGATCAGTGCCTGAACACTTGTGTGTTTGTTGCATGCTTGTGTTTTAGGATGCATCCTGTGTGCAGCAGCCCTTCTGCCCACAAAAGGCAGAACTGCACTGTGTTCCTAACTCCTGTGGCCTCATGTATTTAGGATAGTTATTCTGATAGAAACAAAGCCTAAGCTGCTTGATTACTGTTAGATGCATATTGAATGATTACTGTGTTTATCATCACTACTATAATGATGAATATTAATGACCAGGATCTATACAAAAAATTGAGACCATGCACTGCTGTTGGTAAACATAGTAAGAGGCAGTCTTTGTTTGAAGGCATTTACAACCTAAATAGACATGCAGCAAGAGGTGTTATTATCTCCTCTTCACAGATGGTGACCAAGATAAACTGACATGATGTGCCAAGGGATATAGGCAAATGTGAGGGGGCAGGGAGGGGGTGAGCCAGAGCTGAGGCTGGGTTACCAGCTTGCCCTGGCTGTGACCACTCTCCCTCCTTGCACCCGCTGCAAACTGAATATGGGCTTCCCTCTGCCTGCAGACAGGCAGTGCATGACAAGCAGCTTCCTCCCCAGCTCCTCCACACACAGCTCGGCCCTCATAGTTGACTTCTGCCCAGCGGTGCAAAGTTCCTGTATACCCAGGAAGTATTTGTAAATGGTTGGCTTCACAAAGGAGATTTTTCCATTCTGTCTTGCAGATGTTGTTTTAATGCACACTTGACAGTTGATTCTCTGCTTTAACATCATGATCTGGAAGCTGTTCACTTTGGATGTTTACAGCTGTTCTTGGGTTTAACAGCAGTGCTTCATTCAAACCTTTCCACAGTCCAGGATTCCTCCCTGAATTTATCACGAGGAAATGTTGCCTTTAAAAAAATTAGGATTCTTACAGATGGGTTAGTGAAAGGCATTATATAATACAGTGCTGGCACTAGAAACAGACTCTGTGACCCAGAAGATGACTTCCAGTCCTGTGTTACTGCTGCCTATGATACAATGACTTATTTTCAGTGCAACACCACTGAGCATTGCAAGTTCTCATTTGACATGAAATCCCCTGAATGGTGACAGTGAGCAGATCACTCTCTTGTCATTGCTATCATGTATTTATACTCCGATGCAGATCCAGTTTAGGGTGGGTGTTCTATTTTGACCTCTCCTACAAGGACAGCTATAGAAAATGATTCCTGTCCTGAACTGCCAGGACAACAGGAAACGTTAGCAGACACTAAGTGACAGTTTACATCTCCTGGTTGTCCTTCCAGCATAAAATTGAGGGTGTGTTTATCATGTAGTTATGTTGCTGATCCACTCTAACTGGCAGGTTAGTTTTCAAATGTGTCTTATAATGTGAATCTTGTTTCCATGTTGGAGTGCTTCCACATTACTGCATGAAATTTGAATGTGTTGAAATAATGGGAATGCAGTGGTGGTGGTGGCTGGGAGGCAGGGATTATGTGAAAGCTTTCAGGATGCTCCTAGCAGTGCATTAGCCAAGGGATTTTTATGGGCACAGAGGCACAAAGTAACCCCTCTAATCCCTTTCTCACTGGCTTACAGACTCTGAAGAAGCTTAATAATTACAGAGGAATGCAGTCAAAGTGTTTTTAAGGACATATGTGCAGAGGCTTATTTTAGTCATTTCCTAACAGCAAATGCACTGGCGGATTCTCAAGGAGAAATCTGGGCACAAATTTTCCCTTCTCTCAACCCCCCAACAAAAAGATGATTTACGCTTATATCAAAAAGAGGCTTAACCAGTGTGGAGCTGAAAGAATATTTCCCAGCCTGTAGGATTATGCTTTTCCACAGCCACACCACTTACCCTCTCCTTCTGGTGAAATACAAAGTGTATCCCTGTTCTGCTGAGCCTCCCAGATGGGCTTTTTTTTTTTTTTTTTCCAATTAAAAGGCCAACAGAAAGCCTGCACGTTCCCTCTAAAATATTATCCTATCCTTCTGGACTATTTCACCTTCTCTGAAGTCACTGGTTCAGCTGATGGTGACTCCGCTGCTTATGTGTCGTTACCCGTAAGTATGTCCCTAACTGCGTACTAAATATATGCATAAGAAGGAGGTGTCCAGGAGCTGTTTCTGTGCTGAGCTTTTAGTTTCACAGCTATGTCATTTCTGGAGGAATCTGTGCCTGAAAGAGAAAGATATGGTGGATACTCTCTCACTCCAGAGAGTTTTTGTGATTTTTTTTTTCCTCTGAGAATCTTTCCTAATTGAAAAATTATGGCATGGATTGCCCCTCAGTCTCCTTCAAAATATAATCTCCTAAGAAATCTGGGCACAAAAAGCCAACAGTAACTTGAAAAGTTTTTTGAACATTAATGGTAGAAGAAGATAGGAAATGTTTTATGGTGCATGCTAATGCAGTGCTAGGTATCCCACTGTTGCTTGGAACATAAACTGCAATAAAAATGAAACAAGTTATATCTTATTACTGCATTACTAACTAAAATGGCCTGTTTTCTCGGCTTTATAGCAAAGATGAAAGTTAGTCCATGTACTTACCATTTCTCTACTTGCCATAAGACAGTCCCAAGGCCTGTAAATTCATATAAAAATATATGAGATAAGAATTAGCCTCATCTGTCTTGAATTCTTCTTCTAAAATTGCATTATTCTGCCTGCACCTTAACTAAAGTCTTGATCCTTTTCTGCTAGGAATGCTAGGAACAGATTGCTCCTGTTAGGATTGCAAATTAACTGCAGTTTGAACCCTTAGCATTTGCTATGCTTGATCCAGTTTACTGAATGTGAAATTTTGAGATGAAACAATGTAAACTAATCCTTGATCTGCTTTTGCTGTTTGGATATTAAAAACCCCGTGGCACTTTCTGAAGAGAGGGTGTTTGATGAAGTGACATAAACTTGATTTTTCTTTCCTGTGGCCTCAAGCTTTTTTACCCTAGGGACACTAACTCTCATTTTGCATACTGCTTTCTCACCAAGGGCAAGGCTGCCTGGTTCAAGTGGTCCAATCAGTTTAGATTTGAGCTGACTCAGCAAATCTCTGCTTTCAGGGTTGGACTCTAGATACCAAGGCAAAGCAATGAGCACATGTTTTCCAGCACATGCACAGATCCTTGCTCATGAATGTGGATGCCACTGACCCACTGGCACCCTCTCATGCTGCTTTCTCTTGCTTTGCACAAGACATGCCAGGGACCTTGACAGCAGCATGAGAGTGCTTCACCCTGCAAATGGGAAGGTCTCCTTCCCTATGTGGTGGTTGCCCATCCATCCTTCAAACAGAGCTTTAAGGCTGTCTGAGTATAGACACACTCACAGCATCTTCAAAAATGTTTTGTGGATGGCACACAGTGACCTCACAGTATTTGAGATGGGCAGGTCAGTGCCAGTCCAATTAACACACTCCAGCTCATGATAATAGTGTCCTACAGACTCTTAGAATGTGCCATCTAAAAATTACTGACTGAACAATATTTCTCTCATAACTAGTTATGCAGACTTTTGTGGAATGACTTTGTATGAGCCCAAGGGGAATAATCCAGCCTTTAATATTTTTATTTGAAGTGACCAGATAAAAAAACACAGAAAAAATAAAGTGAGGGATTTGAATCTTAGATGCCATTATCCCAAGGTGCTGGATGTAATCTGGTTTTATTCTCTTTGAATGTTTCTAGGAAAAGCTGCTTCCTGAGTAGAAGAAACATGAAAGATCAGGAAAGTGACTAACAGCATGGGAGCCTTAATGACACCTATCAAGTGCAATGGCTGAGAACATCAGGGCTTGTGGCAGGGATAACAAAATGGGCTGCTTAGCACAATAACTGCCAGCTATTGCTTTTCAGGCAAATGACTGGGACTTTGGGATGATTAGTCTATAACCAGAGGAGAGCAAAAACGCTAGACAGGATGAGAAAGGGATTGTGAAAACCAGGAAATAAAACCCTCAGACAAACTTCCTATAAACATGAATTTCACCCCCAAACTAGTCAATTATCAAATTTCCTCCTCATGTATGCCAATAGAGTCAGCACATTTGTACTGAGTTAAATATATTCTTTTATATATATGTAATTGTTTGATCATGAGTTATCTCTCTTTGGCAGTAAAATCTATCTTTTGCTGCTTGAATATCCCTTCAGGGTACCCTACTCTGTACCCTCATGCTGTCCCATTGGCTTTATTGGTAGAAGGGACTAGAGGTGTTATTTCATGAATAAATGAAAGCGTTTGCAGCAGAAAATCACCACTGATGACAGCTGGTCATACTGAAATAAATGTCATCCATAAACTCATCCATTCCTGTGGTGTCTATCTGCTGCAGCAGAGACCTCATGTTACAGGAGGAAAACAATCCAAAAGGCAACATGGCATTAAAATATTGATGGAACTATGTTAATAGGAAGTGAAATGCATATTTAATAAGTGCCTAGATTCCTTTCATGTTTACATGTGACACCAGATAACTCAGGCTAATCAGAGTGAGCTTGGGTCAGACCTTGTGAGGGACAGACAGTCCCTGTGAGGTTCCAGACAATGCATGGGGATATCCTGTTGTAGCTGGCTTGAATGTGTTTTTGGTGCCTTGACCAGAGGCAAGGAGCAGGGCACTTCATGGCTTGAATCCAGGTTCCTGCTGGGGACACTGTACAGGTAGCTCCCCTCATGTGGTGTCTTGAAGGACCCATTTCCTCCATGACTCCCTCCACTGTAGGGAGCACAGGCTTTGAGAAGCTGCTGTTGCAGCTTTCTGTGGGCTGATAGGAAGGCTGGAAGATATTACTCATTGTGGCTGCTCACCTGGAAGCTGGGAAGTGGCAGCTTCCAGGCTCCTGATCCACTGCAGCAAGGAAGTCCCGTCTGCCCAGAGAAAGCATCTCAAGGGGTAAGACAAAAAGTTCACTGTGCCCCAAGCATCCCTCACAGAGACAGGTCAAGAACAACATAACCCAGGCTATTAATGGCAGTGAGTTGTAAAAGCCTTGGCCTCTGTGTCATGGAACTGTGCTTGTTACTACAATGCACTTTATAACCTGCGATTCCACCTTGGGCTGCTCTGGGCCTAAACACCAGGGACAGTACAACCGTGTGTAAACGAGTGTGCACAGCCCCAGGCTCTGTCCTCACAAAGGTGAGAGCTGTGAGCAGCTGTTTGGTTTTACAGACCTGACACACACCTTTCAGATACCTGCCCATAGATTCATAAGCCTTTGAATTGCAAAATTGTTCTTTGTGTCAAAGTACATAAGGAGCCCCATGTGTGCCAGTGTATGTGTGGGTATGTGCGTTTAGGTGCTTGCTCCTTTATTTGTCTAAAACTTATAGCACTTGCCAACAGTACCCTGTACGTTTTTGTTAATGCCAGCTCTTTAGCTCTCATACCCAATGTTTCTGGGGTAAGTAATAAAACTTAATTGCCACAGTGAAAGAAATTTTCTGTGCTTGAATTTTGATAATATAATGGCTTAATAGAAAGGTACTTGGAAATAGTGACAAACCTTGTTATGAATGTCATCTGTTGGTGACTATGGTGAGTTGTAGATCTCTTTTTAGTCTTTATCACAGCACTATTATATCCAGTTTTTCCACTGGAAACTGTATGTTTCCTTCTAATGAGTTAGTTAGTGATGAGAAAAAAATCCCTGGTAATGAGAAAAAATTCCCTGGTTAATGAGAAAAAATTACCTCAGTTAAAGGAAAGGAGTATTTTCACAGAACCTGCACAAAGCTGAAGCACATTAGGCAATTATTTGTAGTACATTACATCCCAGGCAAGGCAGACTTGCAAAGCATTAATAGTTACACAGACTGAGCCAGAGTGATGCTTTCATTGTAAACGTACTCCATGTTCTGGCACATCGTTACACCACAACTCTCTGAGGACAATTGAGTTATCACAGAGTTCCCTTGGGATGTATTTGGTGATTATGCTGGTTATAAAGAACTTTAGAGAAAAATAGAAATATCATGGTCAGGCCAGCATTTACATATATTGCCAGTTTGCCATTTATAGACTACTAAACTTGGGTTTGATCTGTTACACAGCTGGTTGCTGTTTTATAAAATATTAATAGAAGAACTCTTCATTTGTCATAGAAATACTAGGAAGTAACATGACATCAAAAAAAATGAAACCTAAATCTGAAGACTGGGAAACTTCTTTAGGTCCACCTTTTTGTAGGATATTCAGGAAGTATTGAGAAAAATCTATGAGAAAGAATTGAAAGTGCAGGACTTTTGAGAAATCAAGTTACTCAGCCAGTAATGCTTGGTTTAGAGTCTTTTCTGAAGTGAAGACAGCACTTTACAGTGATATCTAACATGTGTATGGAAACAGAAAAGCAGCTACTAAAAAGGGGCCCACAGCAACATTTCAGCTATCTATTTGGCATATTGAGATGTACAGAAGTAACAAAGTAGCCTATACAAAACACTTCCAAATGAGTTAGAATGGTAAATATACATACAATTGGGAGTATTCAATGCTAAAGACATATTGAAGTTGGGAGAACTATAGAGCAACCACACTGTATTACATGAAGAATGCCACTTTGGATCTCTTTCTATCAAGTAAACACCTGCAATGGAAAAAAAAAAGCATCTGCATTTGTCTCTTGGATTTCTCCTGTTTTATATCCTGGGCCAGGCTGCCTCCAGTGGAAGAGGCAGGGGTGACAACACCTCAGGAGGAGGCCTGATGACTCCACTGGAGGACATTTGGCAGTTTTACACCTGCAGCCTATTGCCACCAGCCTTTTCTTGAGAGGCAAAGATTGATCAGAGCAGTGGTAGCAAGGACTGTTGACCCGGCGGATGTCCCTACACTGCCCTTATATAGACATTCCCAGAAAGGAGCTGAGATGCCTTTTTTCATGGATTTCCTTTGCAAGGCAAGGCTAAAAGAGAGAAGACATCTTCCTATTCTTCCCTCTTCCTCTAATCTTATCCCAATAAAGACCTGGTCCCTGACAAGGTCAGCGGGGCATGAGGAGTCTCCAGCAGGATGGAGCACCAGGTCTGTACGCAGAGGGGCCTGTCTATGTGTTGGTCAT